TAAATCCGGTGTGATGGAGCTGGCTTCCAGTGCTAGGAACATTCCTCAAGGTCCAGTAAGTTGAAACCTTTGCTGAATGGATTAGATTTCAAAACTGCTTTTTTGCATTCCTCTTGGTTTGTGACTCTTTGATCTTCAATCAAATGCAAGCTTCTTCCCTTTGTAGCACCTTGCGATGGAACCCACACCTCTCAAGAAGTGTGTTAGAGTTTGCTAAATGCTCTGAAAGGCTTGAATGTATGGCATTAGCAGACTTGCGATTTGCTTGTCAGACAGAATGAAATGGCTGCAAAGCACTGCAGCTTGAGTTCATTAATGAGCCCAGCAAATCTGTCTTGTATGTGAATAGCTGCCATGCCCTCCAAGTTGATGATCACAGAATGGAGTGTGTGCTACCTCTGCAAACCAAGGAAGGACACCTGGGGGATGCTTGGCAGTGTTTTCCACAAGTCTGTTTATTTATCTGAAGATATGCCCATTTAAAAAGAAAAAACCCCGAAGCATCTTGCAGCAGAATATAAAACCAGGCAATATTATGTATTGCCTTTAGATAATGTAATACCATTGCTGGGCATTCTACTTTTTTGTCATGGGTCGAGGCTTTGCTTTTTGGAAATTAGGGAAGGAGCTCTAGGTCCAGTCCATGTATACAGATATGTTTGTCCCACACGGCTAGGGTAAACCACGCCTGCAAATAGTTTGCCAAAAGCCATGAATCGGAGTCGGATGCAATTTTTAATGAAGGCTTTCACAGGTTAAACCAATGAGTCTTCAGATACTCCATGCCTTGTGTGCACTTGGTCTTTTTCCATTCAGCCTTGACTGGGATTGGATCATTCAACCGCTTCCCAGCTGTGGGTGTGACTGGATCACCCAGGTCCCTCCTGATGCAGTCAGTGCTCAGCAGGATCAGCAGCCTAACCAGGGCTTTTCTGGTTTAATCCCTGGAATGCCCTCAGATCACACCTCTCCATTCATATATTTATATCCTCATATGGTGTGGGCTTAGGTGGACTCCGAGGAATGCTGAAGGACAGGAGAGCCTGGAGAAATGTCTGTGGGGCCGTGAGGGGGCGGGCACAACTTTGCCACTGAACAAAAATACTTGCATTCTCATATATGCTCAAATGCAGGATATGGACTGAGTTCAAGATGGAGCATTCTTGGAAGTTCACACTTTTTAAATTGTTGGAGGAAGCAGTCCTATGGCTTCTGGACCCTAGCTGTAAGGGCCATGGGTAGTTCAGATTTCCAGCTTCAAGGCTGGAGACAGTGCTCCCTCCTCCCTTTGTCTCATTGCAGCTGTTGTGGAAAGAACCGTGCAGACTGCTCTTGAAGGCTGGGCATTCCATCTTGGAGGGGGGCTTAAGTCTTCTTTTGGGGAGGACTGGAGGCAATTGGAGCAGCTAAGACACAAGGTAACTTGCAGCTGTTCCAGCCTCCCCCTCCCTCTGCAATGCCCAGTTGGCTGGCAAAAACGACCATCTAGGGAAAATGCCAGGCAGCAGAATGGGGAGGTGATCCTCACCTGCACCACCCCTCCTGTTCTGCAGGCTGGGGTCTTATGGGCATCTCAGTAAGGTTGCTCCCGTGTCCTTTTGGTAGCCGCAGTACAGAGGAAGAGGAATGGAAAGGAGGGCAAGTCCTGGCCTGTTTTCAGGGCAGGAGTCGGATATTATTTTCTGCTGCACCAGGTCATTGACAGAATCACTTGGTGTTGCATGGGATGAGAAGGGAAAGGAAGGGAAGGGACTCATGCTAAGGCTTTCATGTTTTTCTGTTGTGTGTGATAGATTAGCCCAGAGGAAGCCTGAGAACTGCTGGGTGATGAGCACAGTCCCCTGGCAGAGGCAGAATATTTCTTTCCTTTTCTTATCTGAGGCTCCTACGTAGCACCAGCTTTTTAAATAATAACACATCTCATCAAGATGGCTTGCATTTCTAACAAAAAGCTAAGGTTGCATTTGGATGGCTGAGGATCTTTTACTGAAGGGCAACATGTTTTATGTGAACCTATGTGGTTTGAAGATGTAAGCACTACAGGCGTCAATAAAATTCAGTCCCGGGTGACTATGTGTCAGATATTCAGCTTTTCCCCTACATTTAATGACAATATTTTACTAGTGGCTTGTGTTTGTTGGTTTGTGTGTTTTAGGATGGGGTTTTAATGAGCATGTTGGTTCCCTTAAGTAAAAATAAAGGAAATACAGCTATCTTTTCTCCTTAGGTGTTGGCTAAGGGGCATATCCAACATCCCATCACCATGCTTGAGCCACACAGCAAATACAGGGACAGCAATTTGTGATGAGTTGAATGTTCTTGGTGTTTTCTGCTAATGCAGACTGCTTCTATAGGTTGCATGACCTTTCCAAACTGCGTCGTTTTTCATTCCATTTGCTGGATTCCTCATGGATTCTTCCCAGTTACTACTCTAATGAGGTGAGGCTTCACCTAGGAGAACCGTATTTACCATGCAGTGTGGAGGACTCATAGAATGGTAGAGTTGGAAGGGGTCATGAAGGCCAAGGGTCCAACCCCCTGCTGGTGCAGGACACATTTATTTATTTATTTATTTTAAACATTTTTATGCCACCTCCATCGCAACAAAGCCTCGGGGCGGCTCACAACAGAAACAAAATAATACATAAATACATAAATAATAATATAACAATAAAAAAATTATTTAAAAACTCCCAGTGCATCTCGGCTAAAAATTTAAAATCCAATAAATACAAATAATTTAACAATTAAAAGAAGTTTTAAATAAAAAGGTCTTAGCCTAGTGCCGAAAAACAAATAACGACGGCGCCAGGCGGACCTCTCTGGGGAGCGCATTCCATAGATGGGGCGCCACCGCAGAGAAGGCCCTCCTCCGGGTACTCACCCTCCTAATATCATTCACAGAGGGTTCCCAGAGAAGGGCATCTGTTGCTGATCTCAAGGGGCGGGAGATCATACTTAGATGACTTCATTTTCTCTCCCTTGAATCTCCCAGTAATCAGCTTCATGGGGTAATCCTGCATTCTAATATTAGGGGGGCAGGAAAGAGAGAGAGAGACCCCCTCCCACAATCACCTTTGCAGCTCACAATTGGCGCCAGCCAGTCTAGAGAAATCTGGGTTTGATGGGCCAGCGGTTGATGTAAATCAGATGTGCAGTTCAGTGCAGCAGAATGGAATGATACTTCTGAAAAATTAAGATTCTTCTTCTTCATCATCATCATTTTTATTATTTCAAGGAAAAACCCCGAGGAATAAGCATTCAGTAATGGTACCCTGAACGTGCAGCTGCTCACCCACCTCATTTTGCCACACTCTGTACAAAGTAGCGAGCACACACCTGTATGTGCAACTCTTGCTTGAATTTCCTTCCTAGCATTCAGCAGGGACCATCCTCCAGGCAAAAACTGAGTGAGTGGAACGGGGCTGCCAGGCTCATGGGAGAGGAGAAAGTGCAGGGCCAGTTTAAATCAGGCAGATTCGCAGCAAAGCCACACAAAATGAAAATAATGCCTTTCCCCATGATTCAGACCTACTTCATCTGGCTTTTAATGAAATTGGCACCCTTATCAGTGCTTGAAACGCAACTTGTGCATTATGCTGTAGCTCTTGTAACTGTGATATTCATAAACAACTGGTCGAAGAGAAAAGAAAAGGGAATAGTTGATATGGAATGGCTTCAAGATTGCCATTTTAAGAGGTGGTCAGCAGGTCAGACTAGTTCTATATTGGCCAAAACTGTGATGTCCATGATGAATGAAGAGAGGGAGAGCTATAAACAAAAGTGCTTCTGGAATTCTTTTTAGAAAGATTATAGCAGGAGTGGGGAATAACTTCAGGAATTTCATCCAATCTTGATATTATTCTAACAAACAGAGATGACGTGGTGGATACAGTGAACTGAATTCTTGATTTTGAAGGGAACAAAAGCTTAGTATATCCAAATAGGTACTCTGGATTTTGAGAAAACCAATTTTAATAAACTCGGGATAATGATCAGTAAGATCAAATGAAATGGAATCCAAGACAGATGGGAATTTTTAAAGAAGAAAATTCTCAATTACAAATAATGCCAACAAGAAAAAAAGGCAAAAGATGGCAGAAGAAGCCAATGTGTCTTTACCTAAAGCTTAAAAGGCAAAGGTAAAGGTTTCCACTTGACATTAAGTCATAGAAACATAGAAACAGAGCGAGTCAGAAAGGATCTCCCGGGCCATCTAGTCTGACCTCCAGCACCAGCCGGCTCCGCTCACAACATGCCTACCATGTGGACGTCCAGCCTATCCTTGAACACCCGCACCGATGGGGCCTCAACGACCTCTCGTGGAAGCCCATTCCACACCCTCGGGGTCCTGAATGTCAGGAAGTGCTTCCTGGCATCCAAATGGAACCTTGGCTCCCTGAGCTTTTCTCTGTTGGAGCGCGTCCTGCCTTCCTCTGCAGGGGAGAACAGGTCTCTACCCACCTCCGT